GGTGGGTGTCTAAATACTTTTTTGCCCCACTGTATATATATATATATATATATATATATATATATATATATATATTAGAATTATGTTTGAAGTGCAAATTGCTTTATCTTTTATAAACTAGTAACAGCAATATCATATGCAATTGGGTCATTGTACTGAAAATCAACTCAGCAGTGATGACCCCTATGCAGTTTTAGTCAGTGGGGACAGGAGTTTTAAAGGGGACATCGGATGGTCTTCATAAAATGTCTGTAACATACTTTGGTTAAAATTTCTCAATGTTCGTGTAAAACAACACCGTTTTCACCTTGTCAAAAACAGCTCTGTTCACAGCAACTGGTTTCAGTGCATGTCTCTTTAAATGATAATGAGCTACCGCTCACCCCACCCCTCTCTTCCTTGGGGCATCAACACAAGATGTGTGAATTCCTGCCTTGGACTCTGTATATTGGAGGTGGTCTTATCCAAATAGCTAGCTATCTATGTAGAAACTGGCTGCAAATTGAAGCAGCTAACTGTATGAGTTCAGACAGCCCTTAACAAGCTGGCTGTGTGTTTTCTTTTCAGCTTTTCTGAACTGGCAGGCACGCCAGAAACCTAACTAAATGAAAAAAATGTAAAAAAAGTGAAAATTTCATCCGATGTCCCTTTTAAGCTTCAAAAACACCGTAAAATATAATAAAAGTGATCTATATGTCTCTTACTCTTCTTTTTGTGGGATGAACAGTAATAAATTTAGTTTAGTAAATGTAGTTAGTAGAGCCTGACTGATATATCGTTTTGCCGATATTATCGGCCGATATGAGCCTGTCGCCGATATATTGGTATCGCGGATATGCGGCCGGTATGAACTTTTTTTTTTTTTACAAAACGTATAACACAGATAAAATGCTTGAAATGGTGATTTGTCCAGCAGAGCGCGCTCCATTGTTTGCTACTGGCGACCTGGATGAAACGCTGTAAAGCTTAATCTATGGAAAACCATTGAAACTTTGAACGGCCATATCTCCAGAACGGTGCGGAAAATTCACACCAAATTCGGGGGATCCCTTCAGCTCAAGGAACTCTCTCGAATGCGAATTGAGTGTACGTCTAGAGGGCCGCTTTCGAATGAGACCACCCCTGCGTCGATAGCCCCCGGGGTTCGGGAGTTACGGGTGGTTAAATTCACGGTCCGGCGCCGACCGATCAAGCGAGGGGGGCTACCGATGTGTGGAGGGTGGCATTCGAGAGGGCTCCTCGAGCTGAAGGGATCCCCCGAATTTGGTGGAGATCGGCCGGCGCGTTCGCGAGATAGTGATACCAGTCAACATTTACACTTCAGTAAGGAGGTCTCTTGTTCAGGCAGCAGCATTCAAGCATTGGCTTATTCGACCGTAAGTGCCCTGCGAAGTGGACTTCACATGAAATTCCGCCATGATTCCAGTTCCAAGGGAATGTACACGTTACATTCAAAGGGCATTAAAGTGCGCGAGATGTGAATTTATATTGTATTTATTTACAGAGGTATATTATGTCACACGTCACACTTCTCTAGTAAGTTTCGTCTGTGTGTGAAGACAGTAGCGCAAATCCCTGAATGAATGTTCCGAAGTGAAAAAAACTTCAAAAGAATAAAGTTGAATGGAATTTAATTGAATTAAAGTTGAATAAACTTCAACTTTACTGTTCAGTGCACTGATGTCAGACTCATTTTGGATAATAAAGTTTATTGTTAAATTGTTAAATGTCCTGCCTCCATTATGCATTTTTGTCACGTCACTATAAGTGTTTGATCACCACATCTGAGTGATCATTGCAAAAAATTTGTTTATATATATATATATATATTCTGTTTATGTATATACTGTGTTCTATATATAGTACCAGTCAAATGTTTGGACCCTGGAATGGGAAAGTGTCCAAACTTTTGACTGGTACTGTACTA